CACCCTCCCAGCCAGCAATTCCTTCCCAAGATCCCATCCAGCCCTGCCCTCTGGCACTGGAAGCCATTGCCTGTGTGCTGTCCCTGCCTGCCTTGTCCCCAGTCCCTCTGCAGCTCTCCTGGAGCCCCTTCAGGCCCTGGCAGGGGCTCTGAGCTCTCCCTGGAGCCTTCTCCAGGCTGAACACCCCCGTCATGCTGGTCCTTTTGGCTCTTTCTGTGCCAAACCTGCCCAGAAGGTTTCTGCCAAGGCTGATTTGGCACCATACAGCCCTGCCTAGCTCCATCTGGGCCGGGAGCTCCTCCCATGGAAAACTCACATGGAGGAATTTAAAAGCCATATAAATGTGGCACTTGGGGATGTGGGAAGGTGAATGGCTTGGCAGTGCTGGGGAACATTTAAACTCAATGATCTCAGAGGACTTTTCCAACTTAAACAATTGTGTGATTCTGTGTTTCATGTAACCCTTTGCACCCTGAGGTCTGGTCCAGCCTTGGGTGCTTGGGAGCACATATGCTGGAATTTAATCCTTCTACTGTAGGAGGAAGAGTGATAAAACAAGGAGCTTAGTGCAAGTTATTGATGGATACTCCCAGTTTTCCCCTGGAGCCTTCTGCCTGGCACAGAGAGCCCAGGAGTGCCAGGCAGCAGAGCAGGATGCAGGAGCCTCCAGGTGCCCATGGATGTGCAGTGATGGGGCTCTGACCCTCCCTCCTGCCTGGGCTTGCAATGACCAGCAGCTGTGCTTTACATCCATTTTGTTTCCTTTGAAAGTGGGCTAGGTGAGTTAGGCTGTTGCTGTGTTTTGCAGGTGTAATGAAGCCTGAGTGCAGTGCAGTGTTTCCTTTTCACAGACCCCATTAGCGAAGATGTGAGCTGAGAGCTGGTTGTGGGTTTATCAGTGCTAACCTCATTTTGGAGGGACATTTGTACTTTGTGAAGGAAGGTTGGTTTCTGCTTAGGTCCTTCTCCTCAGTTCTATCTTCCCATGCAAATCTGGCATACCTTTGGATTTTCCACCACATCTCCACTTCATTTCTTGCTTTCTGGTCACTGGCAGTCAAGGACTTAAATAGAGAATTCCACGTAATTAACTCTTCCTTTATCACAAATACCAGCCTTGTTACTTCTCCTTTATTGCACCAGGAACAAACTCTTGAGAAATCCCCCCTTCTGCTGCCCACGCTTCTCTGCCAGATCTCTGCATACTCTTATCCTGGCTTTGAACCATTTCTTGAATCTCTCCAACCTTCCACTATCCTCTTCAGGTTTCTTGATAACCTTTCATGGCTTTTGTTTCCTATTGCTGAGCTTCATAGCAGCTCCTACTATTGCTCCCTTTTCTGCAGCCTTGCATAAGAATGAGATAAGAATGGGGTAGATTAAGTCAGCCTACATCATTGCTGCATCTCTTTTTTTTCCTTTTCATCTTTTCCTTTTCATCTTTTCCTTTTCCTTTTTCTTCATGCATCAGTGCAATATATGTTTTTAAGGAATAATTTGGAAGAAAACACTGACCTTTCAGAAGTCTATGGCCACTGTGAGTGGCATAGATGCACCTTGTCTCAAATTGCCACCATTGTTCTCATACTGGAGTCTCTCCCACCCCTAAAAGAAAAGATTTTATTTCATAAAGAGGCCCTTGCACATTGCTCCCACTGAGCCATGGCCTGTGCAAATGCCTCAGGAGGTGGCAGTGGCCAAGGATTGCACTGGCAAGGACATGACTCCTGTTCCTGCGTTTTCAGAGCACGGATCTGACCAGCACAGTTGGCTATGACAGCATCATTCAGCATCTGAATGATGGCAGGAAGAACTGCAAAGAGTTTGAAGACTTCCTGAAGGAAAGGTAAGGAGCTTTGTGCCTCTGACAGAGGGTTGGGTTGAGCCTGGAAGTGGTGCTGTGGCACTGCTCCTGCTCCTGGTATTCCCAGTTTGATTTGTGCCGTGTTTAACTGATGTTAAAGTTCTGTCCCATGAAGTTCACCTTGCTGCTTACCTTGCAGAAGATAAGGTTAGTAGATCTTGGCCTAGGAGAGCCATGGCTTTGTCTCTGGTTGTTATGAGCACCCCACAGATTCAGTGTTAATAAGTGGTAGGGTTAGGTACTGCTGTTATTAATCAGAGATGATCTAAGCAGGGGTTCTGTGGCTGCAAAAAACAGCTGCCATGATCTGGCCATGTATTTTGCCTTTAAGATTTTGCCACCTGCTTAGCAGTAGCTAAATATGAAGAACATTGTAGAGCGTGTAGAACATGTACATTGTAGAACATGTACATTGAATTAATGTCATTTTGGTAGTGACAACTGGAGAAAACCAACCTCTGACTGCACGGCTTGGTACAGAGCATCCTAGAACAAACAAAATGGGGGTGAACTGAAGGACAGCTGCACTTACAAGCGTCTAATGCACATACGTCTGTTCAGGCTGTAATCCTGCTTTCCAGGAAAATTTGGGTTTCCACATGAGGAAGTGGACCCTGAGAACCAAGTCTCACTCATCCGTGACAGTGCAGAGAGTGCCAAAAGCCTTCTCTACACCCTGTGCCCTCTTTGGTCTCGAAGGAGGTGTAGGCTTCCACTGAAGCGTCTAGCCAGGAGGAGATCAGAGGCTGGACCTGGGTTTTCCAGTTTCTGGACTTGGCCCTGATTTCCAGCACGGCTGTTACACAGTTCCAGCTATGGAGAATGTGCCTGCTGAATGTTTTGCCACACACAAAGTTAATGGGAATGTTGTTAGGTAGGAAAAAAAAATCAGTCTATCATACATATTTTTTTCAATTTCCCTATTAGCTTCTGGAGTTTTTAGAGTTAAGGTAGGTGAATTTCATTGCCAAAGTCCAACCACACAGGGGTCTGCACCTGTGTTAGTAGTTAAGGCATTTTAGGAAGTTATTTGTTTTATCCAGTGGATGTTCTAATGGCAGCCTGTAGCAGTGCTTGTTCCTTTCCACAGACAGCTGGGGTTGCCCAGATGGAGAGAACTACATTTGACCAAGCAAGTCCAGCCCTGGTTGTCTCTAGTGATTTCAAAGCAGCTGCAAAGGACTGGTTGTTCTTACACTGCAACACATGGGCTCTCTTTTCCTCCTTTTCTTCCAAGAGGGGGAGATAAAATGGTCTCTCAAAGGTGTTATCTATGTCACTTCACAAAATTTGGTCTCTTCTTCAGCTGCTCTCCATTAGGATTAGTGCCAGGTAGAGAGGGTGCCTATTGCCACAGATTGACAGAGGGAAGGGTTAGATGGGATATTGGGAAGGAATTCCTGGCTGTGAGGGTGGTGGGACCCTCTCTGGCACAGGGTGCCCAGAGCAGCTGTGGCTGCCCCATCCCTGGCAGTGTCCAAGGCCAGGTTAGACAGGGTTTGGAGCAGCCTGGGACAGTGGAAGGTGTCCCTGCCCATGGCAGGAGGTGGAATTGGATGAGCTTTCGGGTCCCTTCCAACCCAAACCAATCAGGTGATTTCTCTCTTTTATTTCTCTCTTTCCTCAACAGAGCAATTATAGAAGAAAAATATGGCAAGGAGCTCATTAACTTGTCAAAGAAGAAGCCCTGTGGGCAGACAGAGCTGAAGTAAGTTCACAGCTACTTTTATGGGTGTCCCTGAAGCAGTTGAGGAGGAAGAGAAGGAAGGAAGCTGTGAGACAAAACAGAATTGAAATGTGAAATGTGATTGAGACATTCAGAAGATGAGCTGAATCATTCTCATGAATGAGCAGTAGCAGTGCCCAGTTGGGTTTTAATTTGCTTTGAGTTGGAGCCCACCAAGTTCCCCTTAGCCACAGATTAACCAGAGCACTGTAGAAGCTCAGGGGTTTGTGGGCTGATGGGTCAGCAGAAGGCTGAGGATCATGAGACCTTGGGTTACCTCTGGACAGGTTTTGTAGCCAGAGGGAAGTACAGGTACTTCCTTGGCTCAAACCATGCAAATCTTCAGAGCCCATCATGCTGTGGCCACCACAGTTTGTTTAATTTCCCAAGTGACCCTCAGTGCCTTCTACTACTTTCTTTGTTTCTATGCTTTATACATGCCCTGGTCATTTGCTCACAGTATCAAATTGAGGTGTCACTTCAAATATTTCTGACATCTTTACTGTGCCATATTAATAGGGAGAAAAGCTCTCTACTTTTGCAGCCAATGGCAAACACACCATGTTGAAATTCTTAATCTGTTCTTTTATTTACAGTTTCATATTGAGGTGTCACTTAAAATGCTTCTTACATCTTTACTGTGCAATATTAATAGGGAGAAAAGCTCCCCACTTTTCCAACCACTGGCAAACACAACATGTTGAAATTGTTCATTTGTTCCCAATGATGGTTTTAGGAGGTTGCTGGAAACATTTGTCATGAAACTTTGAATTTTTAATTGCATCCAGTGTTCAGAAAGATGTAAAGTAGATGTCAAACCAAGTGAACTGTGTTATACCTGCTGAGAGGGGAAAGAACTGGAGGTACTAAGAGGATAAATAAATGTGCTTGGAGGTGCTTTGGCCATTGTTGAGTGAGCTCTGTTTTGGAAGAGGTGCTCTGCTGATGCCTGTGCCTGACTGTGCTTTTCCACCCTTTTTAATGCCCTGCCTGTATTTTTCAGCACGCTGAAGAGATCCCTCGATGTTTTCAAGCAACGTAAGTAATTCTTTGTGTTTGCCAGGACATTTGGCAGCACTGAAGCCTGAAGGCAACTGCCTGGGAAGAAAATAGCAGAGAAATCCTAAAGCTGTGCAATGCTGAGTCCAGGCTTAGGCTGTACTGCTGGCCTGGTTCATCCCAGTGTGTGAGGTTTGGGACAAAGTGAGCCAAGACACGTGCGAGACAGGAGACCCACAGGGCATCATTTTGGGATCTCTTGGGCTTTCAGGTCTGGATGCAGCTCAGAGGTCATGTTTATGTACAGAGGAAGCTGGGAACCTCATCTGGAGTTTGTTGGACAAACACACAGTAACTCATACCTCAAACTGGGGACAGCTCTGGGCCCCTCAGGACAAGAGAGACACCGAGGGGCTGGAGCGTGTCCAGGGCAGGGAACGGAGCTGGGGAAGGGGCTGGAGCCCCAGGAGAGGCTGAGGGAGCTGGAAAGGGGCTCAGCCTGGAGAAAAGGAGGCTCAGGGGGGACCTTGTGGCTCTGCACAACTCCCTGCCAGGAGGGGACAGCCGGGGGGGATTTGGGGTCTTATCCCAGGGAACAGGGACAGGAGGAGAGGGAATAGCCTCAGGCTGTGTCTGGACAGATTGGATATGAGAGAAATATTTTCATGGAAGGAGTTGTCCAGCCCTGGTGCAGCTGCCCAGGGCAGTGGTGGAGTCCCCATCCCTGGAGGGATTTAAAAGCCGTGTGGATGTGGCACTTGGGGACATGGGTCAGTGGTGGCCTTGGCAGTGCTGGGGAGTGGTTGAACTTGAGGATCTTAAGAGGGCTTTTCCAGCCTAAATGATTGTGTGATTCCAACTGGAGCATCTAAAAGAAGGTGCTTTGGCCACTGTACCTTGCCATGTGTCACATCCTGCCATGGTACATCACCTTGAGGGTCAGCATTCTGCTATCCTGTGCCCAGTCCATCTCTTGCCTGATCTGGGTTTCTTGGCTGCCCCTGTGGACCTCCCCAACAAGGCTCTGCCCTCACCACTGCTGACAATTCACAATTGTGGGTTTGGAGCAGCTTTGGGGGTTGAATAAGGAGCTGCCATTTGGCTCTGTTCCCTTGGTGGACTTGCTGGGGTGGTGTTTCATGATGTGGCCTCTTACCTTCAGCAAGAGGAGCCTGAGATTGTTTTAGCCTTCTTTTTTCTGTGCTCCAAGTTATTGCCTGCTGGCCTGGGGCAATGCAATGCGTTGAAGCATGCCTAGATTTAGCTGCATGAAGGGGAGAGCTTTCTCAAACCGTGGAGCAAGTCCCAGCAGGACTGATCCTTTCATTGGTGAGCACTGCTTGGAGGCTGCTTCAAACAAGCTGGAACTTTCTTCACATTTCTGAAAGGGGATGTGTGATGTGTTCTAAGTTGACTTGAGAAACAGTCTCTTTAGGAATATATATATATATATGTAATTTAATTTCTCTTTGCAGAGATAGACAACGTGGGACAAGGTCACATCCAGCTGGCGCAAACCCTTCGTGAGGAAGCAAAGAAGATGGAGGATTTCAGGGAAAAGCAAAAGCTTCATCGGAAAAAGGTCAGACGTGCCTTCCTGCCCCAGCAAGGGGCTGATCCCCCTGCTGTCTCATGCCGTGTCTCAGCCCCTTCCACGCCCCCACTGCCTGTGCTGCTGGGAAGTGCTGAGCTCCTTCCTATGTGTTGTAACTGTGTTGAGCTATGTAGTAACCTCCAACTTCCTTCTTCTCACTTCCACGTTTTCTTCGTGGGCTTTTTGGGGCCAGCCACAGCACTGGAATGTTCTTAAAGCATTTGTTTCTAGTGCTGTATGATCTCCATAGGGGCTGCTAAAATGGCCAAGCCTTTTAAACTACTTCTGGCTTGAGATTCCTTTGTTTGGAAAACCAGGGAAAGCTGCTGGAACTAGGGACTGGTTTGGACCTAGCAGAGGGGACTGGGCTTCCCAGTTTTGCCTGAGTCTATGGAGGTGAGACAGTACTATATATTGCTAGGATTTAATTTGTAGAGCTCCTTTGCATACACAATTCAAGGCTTAGACAGAAGCACAAAAGATGAGTTTTGTGAGCATGATTCGGGTGGATGTAGGTCTTTAAAAACATCTCAGTGTGGTCTGTGGCTCTTCCTTTTTTAAGCCTCACAGTGTGTTCTGGAGCTTTGATGGTCAGTGATGTGCTGACCCCAGATCTGTTATCTTCACAGATAGAGCTGATAATGGAGGCAATTCACAAAAACAGGAATCTCCAGTACAAGAAGACCATGGAGGTAAAGCTAACGTGCTGCTGTTTCTTGCCATGTGGGCTAATGCTGTTCACACACACAAAGCACTGGGACAGGCTTAAAATGAGAGGGGTTACCTCCTCTGCTGTGACTCTTGAGGCTGTTTCTGTCTGAGTGGTGTGCAGGGTGTGCTCAGAAACAGTGAAGAGCACGCCAAAGACATGGCCAGTGGTAGCCTTGCATGGATAGATAGAAATGGTTTAGAATCAGAGAATTATTGAGGTTGGGAAAGCCCTCTAAGATGCTTGAGTCCTGCCATTTGCCCAGCACTGCCAAGCCCACCACTAACCCATCTCCCCAGGTGCCACATCCACACCTTTTTTGAGCACTTCCATGGGTGGTGACTGCAACACTGTCCTGGGCAGCTTGTTTCCCATGGCATGCCAAAGGGCAGGAAAACCCTTTCTGTGTAGAAGTTTTTCTCAGTATCTACTCCACACATCCTCTGATGCAACTTGAGGCCACTTCCTCTCATCCTGTCCCTGTTCCCTGGGAGCAAAGCCTGACGCCTCCGGCTGTCCCCTCCTGTCAGGGAGTTGTGCAGAGCCACAAGGTCCCCCCTGAGCCTCCTTTTCTCCAGGCTGAGCCCCTTTCCAGCTCCCTCAGCTGCTCCTCATCAGACTTGTGTTGCTGCCCATTCCCCAGCCCTTCCCTGGCCATGCCCATGCCTTTGTTTGCCAGGAGCTTTTCCACCCCACTCCAAGAGCAGCCTGCGAGCGAGGCTTTTCCCAAGCTGCAGGGCAGCTTTTGTGCCACTCCCTGCTCTGCAGGCAGGCTGTTCCTCGCAGGCTGAGCTTTCCAGGGCCCTCCCCATGAGGTGTGTCTGTGCCTGGCTCTGAGGGGTGTGTGTGTCTGGTGTCTGTCCTAGGCCAAGCGTCTGTACGAGCAGCGCTGCCGCGACAAGGATGAGGCGGAGCAGGCTGTGCACCGCAACGCCAACCTGGTCACGCAGAAGCAGCAGGAGAAGGTAGGCAAGCTGGGTGCCTCTTGGAACCCTGAAGCCTGCAGGGAGTTGTGAACTTTTCTGTGCTTCCTGGCGCTGACCCCCAAAAGAGCACTGCTTTTGACTTTAGGCATGGAAAAAAGCTTCCAAAATTTGAGTGATGGAGTTGGAGTCACGGGTGTGTGGTTAAGTAGAAGGGTGTGATTTCACATGGCGAAGGGTTTGGAATTTGGGGTTTTAGAATAATGTAGTAACAGGTATGGGACAAGATGGAGGTTCTGGTTCTGGGGCGTTGGCTCTTCTTCCTTCTTGTTCCTTCTTCTTGTTGGTTTTAGGTAGTGGTTTTTGGTTAGATGGAAAATACCGCACTGTGGGCCACAGGTGTTTGGTCATTGGGTCAAAACTATAAATAATATAGATGTTAGCTGTTAATTGGATAGTTAGGCCTTAAAAGACCTTGTAACAAGTGAGATACAGCTCCATTTTGTCATTTTTAGCTTGTTAGCTAGAAGTGCTGTAACACTCACTGTGCTTTAGATAAGAATTAATAAACAACTGAGTCTGAACATGAAAATCCTGTCTCTCGTGCTTCAATCCCAACTCTGACTGAAGGCAGAGGAGAAAAGAAGTCAGCCACTAACTGGTGGCCATGGCAGAGAGGGGGAAGGGGATGTCTTTTCTTGCAGCTCTCATGCCCCATGGCTCTTCTCCCAGCTCTGGGTTTTGGGGTGGCTGGTGATGTTCCCCAGTGGGGCTCCAGAATCATTAGTGATGCACCCAGCCTCTTCTCCACCTTCCTTGTCTCTCCTGTTTTTGGCAGCTGTTCCTGAAGCTGGCTCAGACAAAATCAGCACTGGAGGACACTGGTGAGTGTGGAAATGCCATGTTGGGAGGGCAAAGGGGAGTGTTTCCAGGGGCAGGGGGTTGTACAGCCATGGTGTGCCTCGTGGGTGAGCTCCATCTCTTGGGTCAGGAATCACATACCCAAGATAGTGGCAGTGGGCAACTTCCCTGGAAAAGCCTGCATGGCCCCACCAAAGCCATGTCCTTCTGCTTTATCCCTGATGTCCCGACCTTTTCAGCCTTTCTCTCAGCCCTAGAATTACCTTCTAGTGAAGGGATTTTTTAATGAATGTTAGTCATGGAATCACAGAATCATGGCATGATTTGGGTTGGAAGAGACCTTAAAGGTCATCTTGTTCCAACCCCACTGCCATGGCAGAGAGACCTTCAGCCAAAATATGATTTATCTTGCAGACAGGAGTTACCAGCAGAGTGTGACCACAATGGAGAAGATCCGAGAAGAGTGGCAGAATGAGCACATCAAAGCTTGTGAGGTAAATGCCCCTAAAAACCTCCACATGGCAGCGTGGTCCTGTGGGTTTGCAATCCTGGAGGGCTCAAGGACAGTGTGAGTTTTGCTGTCCGTGTGTTCCCCTGGCAGTGAATGTATTGCAGCTAACCCTGTGTGTGTCTCAAGCATGGCTTCTGGATTCAAGGCCCCACTGCTTCAAGGTTTCTGCTCTTATTTTATTATTTTTATTTTTCCACCACCTTCTAAAATTGACAGAGTCAAGGCAGTGACATTTTTTTCCCCGCTACCTGGTTGCATGTGTGGCGTGGCTGTCATGTGGAATGGCTGTGGTCACCTCTGGATACTCAACAACACCTGGAAGACTATCTAAACCTCTGAAGGACTTCACATGACTTTCCAGCAGAGGCTGGTGGTGGCTGGAGGTGCTGGTGAAGCCATCTCAACACGCACACTGTGCCAAGGGCTCTTCACCTTGTGACACACAGACAGTGAGATGCAGTACTGTGGGAACCCCTCTGAGTGGCTGTATCAGCCTGAAGCAGACTGCCTCACAGGGAAGTGAGGTCCAGCAGGGATTTCCAGCACATGCTGGGGAATTTCAGGCTGGTAGCAAGAGGGCTGAGCAGCTGCTCTGCTGCTGGCCTGTGATCTGTGACTGGGGGATGGACAGAGACTGCAAAGACAGATTTTATCCCAGATCTGCTTCAGGCTTGCGACCAGCTTTCCCATTCCCAGCTGTGCTGATTCCTTCCAAATTACCTCTCTTCAGGCTGCTACTCTCCTTTTCTCTTCTGAACTGGAATTTGCTGTTTTGTGTGGTGTGCGTGGGTGTCTCTGTGCTGGTGTGCTTTTGGTGTCTTCTCTGGATGCCTCTAGGATGGGGACACAGTTTAGTGGTGGCTTGGCAGTGCTGGGTTATTGGTTGGACTCGATGTTGTTAGACAGCTTTTCCAACCCTAATGATTCTGTGGTGGGGAGTGGGAAGCAGCAGTTTCACTTTTGCAGATGGGTGGATATGGAAGTTCTCCTCTCCATGTGTTGCAAAGGTCATAAGTGGTAACAAGTGTGGATGTTCATGGAAATGTGTAAAAGCACGTGAAATTGAGGTGTACCAGACAGTGGATTTCAAAAGGGTTTAAACCTGCTTGGAAAAAGGGTGGGCAGGAAAGAGCAAGAAGACCAACCAGTCAACACACATCTGTTTTCATACATCCCCAGTGTTTTTTTTTTATTGCTCCATGTCTGGAACATGGAAATGTTAAAAAAACACATACATGTGGACTTGGGGAAATGTGTTAGTGGTGGCCTTGGCAGTGCAGGAGTAATGGTGGGATTTGATGATCTTAGAGAGCTTTTCCAACCTAAATGATTCTGTGATTTAAGGGTACCTGTGTAAGGGAAGTGGGCTGGGACCACGGGAGCACAGGGTACCTTGGGAACCTCTACTGCCTTTAGGAAGCTGGCTTGGTCTTCCAGAGGTAGAAATGTGCTGGGTGGTCCCCTCCACATTAGTCTTGCAGATTTTCCAAGCTCAGTACTCACCTTTGAATTACCTGGTTGCATAGAGGGATTATTTCTCCTCTGGACAAGCAGGAGGAATCACAGCTCCCTTGTTTCCTGCAGAAGACCAACACCAACTTTTCGGGGCAGTTAGCTTTGTTGTGGCACATGGGGGTGAGAAGCAATCAGGAAGAAAGAGATTCCTCCTGTTTTTAAAGATGTTATGGACAGTTTTTTCTGTGTTGTTTCAGTTCTTTGAGACGCAGGAGTGTGAGCGGATCAACTATTTCCGTAACGCCCTCTGGCTCCATGTCAACCAGCTCTCCCTGGGTTGTGTCCAGAATGATGAGGTACCTCAGCTGAAAATCTTCATTTTTCTGCATAGACAGCAAAGCCTAACTTGTTTTCCTGGGCACTAAGCTGTGTTATGTCTGGGTTGGGCTGTGGCCCTTGATTGACCACAGACATGAGTGGGCAAGCAGAAGGACTGGCCAAAATTCTTGCAAATGAGGTTTCCTCCGGAATTCCCACATTTTCTGAGGACGGTGAGGCCCTGGGACAGGTTGCCCAGAGAAGCTGTGGTTGCCTCATCCCTGGAAATGTCCAGTGCCAGGTTAGACAGGGCTTGGAGCCAGTGGAAGGTGTCCCTGCCCATGGCAAAGGGTGGATTGGGATGGGCTTTAAAGTTCCTTCCCAACCCAAACTATTCCGGGATTCTGTGATTCCCTGACACTGAAGCTCGTGTGAATACTAGGCTTTCACCCTCTGTGTGCTAACCAATTGGGGAAAAGCCTTGTTTTTTGACCTGATATATACAAATGCACTTTATTTCCCTTTTGCAGAAGTATGAGGAAATCCGCAAGAGTTTAGAAATGTGCAGCATTGAGAAGGATGTTGATTTTTTTGTAAATTTACGCAAAACTGGAAGTTTGGCACCAGGTAAGAGCTTAGTAGAATCTCAGAAAGTAGTGTTGGCTGCTCTGCTCATGGAGCTGGCTACTCTGGTCAGCATCATTTTGTGTGCAGAAAACACAAATTTTGCATTTCATTCGTTGGCATGCAGCACTAGTTTCTCTGCCACTTTTGACAGCCCATGGAGATCATAGTCCTGTTTTTTAGTTTCCTGATCAGGCATTTTCTCAGAGAGGGGAAAGACTTAGCAGCTGAAAGTTGGTTTAGCAAGTATTTTATGTCTGTAAGAGGCTTGTACTTTACTACTGTCAACTTTTCTTAGCTCCTGTTGTTTATGAAAACTACTACAATGCCCAGAGAAATGTGACTCCTGCAAGAAGTCCAGCTCCTGTACCTATATCAAGGTAAGGTGTGTAACATGTACAACTGCAATTGCTATTGCAAGTGATGCTCACTCCCCGAAAACAGGCATATTTTGTTCATTTCAGTTTATTGGAAGCTTGACTTCAGGGTATTAGAGGAAAATACTTGCTTGCACGGCTCTTGGTGTGATCTGAGGAGAGTTAAAAGCATTTGTGGGTGGAGGGAGGAGCTGCAGAGCTGGGTTCACTCTTGTGGGACAGAAGCTGGGCAGGGAGGACGCTGTGAAGGGTTTTTCTGTCAGGGGCAAGATGATGACTGGGGCCAAGACTCATGCCAAGTATGAATAATTGCCACTTTGGCTGCCACACTGAGAGAGGAGTCATGTCCAATTGTGGCTTCCTGATGTCTCACTCTGGTCAGAGGCATGTACAGAGATACGCCCTGAGGCTCACTTGTGAATTTTTCCCCAAGTCAGTGCTTTCTGGTTATTTTTTCCTCTCCCCACTGTGTCAGGTTCAACTCCCATGTTTGCCAAGTGGGCTGTGGGTGGTGAGCCCAGCATGACTTGCCTTGTCAGGTCTCCATAAAGCCCAGGCTGGCCAAACCTCTTGCCCTCCCACCAGCTCTGGGGGAGGCAGCTGGGGGGTGCAGAGCCAGGGCAAAGGTTAAGGAGTGCCTTAGCCAGCAGATCCTCAGCTCTGTGTTTCCTTCTGTGCAGGAGGGGACCCCTGCCCACCCCGACCACTGCACCAGGTGAGTCACTGCTTCCTGGGCTTTCTGGCCACACAGCGAACTGTCACTTCAGCCCTTGCCCAAAGCCCCTTCCCAGCTCCCTTGGACCCCCTTTAGGCTCTGGAAGGAACTCTAAGGTCTCCTTGGAGCCTTCTCCAAATGAACACCCCCAGCTCACCCAGCCTGGCTTGAGCCTCATTCACTCTTGCATCTCATCCCTTTAACGTGGGTGGCCAATGTGTGGTGCTTCTGCTCTCTTTAAAGTCACATAATAAGCACTTCTCATGGGAAACCTAAGGGGAAATTTTGTGCTCTTTGTTTCAGGGGAGCCTGATTATGCCACAGTTGATGGCTACAGCTTGGTCCACTTCTAGCAGTCACAGTAAGTACCCACTTTCGATGAACAAATGAAGCCTTAAAAGAAAGAGGGGGAGGAATTTTTTTATCTAGGTAGATAGTAATATGGGGAATGGTTTTTACTGAAAGAGGCTGGATTTAGATCAGCTAGAAGGGAGAAATTCTTCCCAGTGAGGGTGGGCAGGCCCTGGCACAGGCTGCCCAGAAAAGCTGGGACTGCCCCATCCCTGGAACACCCAGGACAGGTTGGACAGGGCTTGGAGCAACCTGAGATAGTGGCAGGTGTCCCTGCTCATGGCAGGGGGGTTGGAATTAGGTGGTCCTGATGGTCCATTCCAACCCAAACCGTTCTGAGATTCTGTAAGAAAGGATTTGAGATGAAGCTACACAGATGAGGGACAGTGGAGAAAGAATGGCCATTGGTTAAGGAATGACATTTTGAGGTGACTGACTGGAAAAAGTGATGCTCCTGTCAGCCCTCGCATCTCTTGTCTGAGCTGTAGCTGTGGTTTAGACACTGTTGATCCTGTTCCCTAGGTTTTCCAGGAGGCAGAAGACACTGTTGGTCTGACCAGCGTGGCAGAGATGGTATTTTGAGTTATTCCCAGACACATAGAGCTGAAGTGCTTCTGCTTTTCAAGAGAATATTTGAGGACTCCGATAATTATTTGTACATTCAGAAAGCGCTTACTAAAATCTGTGCCTTTGATCAGCAAACTCCTTGGATGGATCTTCACACTCAGAGGAAGAAAAGGACCAGACACAGGGGTGATCTGTGTTTTTGAAGAAGTTTTTGATTTGAAGTTCTTCTAAAGTGTAGCCGTCTAGAAAGTCTGGAGCCTCCCACTCTCTAGATAACTCAGAAGTTGTGTGTGCTGAGAGGAGTGCTGCATGATGCTTTGAGCACGCTGGCTTGTGCTCAGGGTGTGTGCATCCCTCCCGGATCTCAAATTTTGCCTTTTCCTGATGGCTTTTGCCTGTTCCTAAAGTCTTTCATTAGCGGGGATTAAACTTGTCATTTAGGTAAAATTTTGCTCTTACCTCTCAGAAATCTTACCTAGAGAGGCACCAGTGGTTGCACTGTGTATCTGGCTTAGCTGTAGCTGTGCTCAAGCTTAAGTGCTGACACTGGAAAATTATTTGCATCTACCCAGGGAGGGGCTGTGTCACATCTAGCCTGCCGAGAGGTCCCAGGAAGGATCTGAAGGAATTTATTCAACTCTTCCTACCACCTCTCTGGTGATGGTCTTGTGAGCTTTTAGGTTTATCAGGTTGTCCCTGGTAAGCTCTGGAGACCAGGTTGGATGGGGCTTGGAGCAGCCTGGTCTAGTGGAAGGTGTCCCTGCCCATAGCAGGGAGTTGGAACTGATGCCTGAAAACAGAGGTCAGACAAAATTAAGGGGAATAAAAAGTGGTTATATTTACTGAAGGGCCTTCAGGTACATTTGGGGCAGATGAAGCCCCTCAGGAGCTACACCCAAAAAATGGACAATGGGTCACAGATTTTCATCTTTTTGTAAGTTTGGTCCATTTGTGTATTTGGGTTAATCTTCCAATTACAGCTTCAGGTAATGAAGTCATTTACCCCAAGTTTTCTGCCCCACCAACCCACTTTTGTTTACATTTCTCAGGGCCTGAGACAGTAAACTTGATTCCCATATTCCCTTGATCCTAGAGAGAAATTGTTTTGTCTGACCAAAATAGGAAAGCAATAACTAACACTCTATATGCAGTTTAGAATTATACACTAAAGAATTGCAGGATTACAAGTACATGAAAAATATAAAAGCTAAAATCCTAAGGCATCAGAACTAGGTGGTCTTTAAGGTCCCTCCCAACCCAAACCATCCTGGGATTCTCTGATTCTGTGATTTAATTAACTTCTGTGATTCTATAAACTTCGGAACTTGTTCTGACTATGCACCACAGGAAACAAACTTACCTACTGCTGGAGCCATGAAACTTGTTTTCTGACCACATCTCCTGAAAGTTCCTGCCCTTGTTGTTACCACATATATAGATAATGATTATGGTTTGATTCAGAAGCTTATGTGCCTCGGGGCTGCTGGTCTCTCTGATGTCCCTGTGTGCAGTGCTGCTTCACTGCTCCTTGCTGCCTTATGACACTGGATACAGGGACACAGGACATGGGGATAAACACACAATTTACCTGTCTAAACCTGGTGCCAGGTCACTAACCTGGGGCAACAGGATTTGCTGTTTTTACAATGTTTTTTTCAAGTTGAATCTGCATGGCTTCAGCATGTGCCTCAGCCCACCAGTCCTTGGGGTTTTAACTGAATTTGCTTGTGTGGGGAAGATGACACTGAGCTCTGACATCTGCCCTGCTGCCTCACAGTGAGCTGTGCAGAGTGCACATGCCAAGGAATCAGCTATCCTATTTATTTCTGAAAGACCAAGGATACAAATACTCTTCTGAAGGAGCCTGCTGTAGTTTTAATTCTATAAATATATATTTTAAAAAATAAGTTTTGAGTCTCGTATTCTGGATATGCATTCTCTTTTGAAGTTGCCATGTTCACTTTCTGTTGGGGATGGGTTTGGGATCCATGCAAAGTCTCTCCTGGATGGAAACCTACAAGATCACATCCTTGCTCAGCCTTTATTTCAGTCCTTGCTCAATACCAGCACAGCAGTGGGAGAAAACACCCCGAAAGAGAATGGCATGAGAAGTGCTTATGGTTAGCCATGAGCTGCAGACCATGCAGGGCTGTTTGCACCGGAAGAATATCTGCTCTGAAAAAACTTGCATGGTTTCTTTTCTGGGATTTTTCCACTGACTGAACAGTTGCTGTTTGCTTTTTCTGGATGTAGGGGTCCCCAGTGAGGCTAAAACTTGGCTTGGAAATTTACTAAAAGTACAGAAATAATCCCAAAATCGGGGTGCTGGGGCAGGTCTCCCCCTACACCTATGTACAGTTTACATTTCCCGTGGATACTACAAATTCCAGGTTACACTTTAGTAACATAAAGACTTCTCAAGCCCTAAGTACAACGTCCCATGGAGAGAACAGTGCCTGTTCCAGGCCATTGACTGGACTGTGATGTGTTCTGCAAAGTGTCACTGGGCTCTGGAGGGGCTCATCCTCCTGGGCATTGGGAGAAGCAGCTCCTGCTCCCTCTGGGGTTTGTGCCCTGCTCCAGCTGTGGCTCCTTGAGTGCCAGGACAGGGATCTGAGGGACAGCAGCCCCTGGTCTGGGGCTGAGCCAGCATTCCTGCTGTTCTGAAGGTGTCTCAGGCCCTGAGGCAGACAGAAGTGACTTCACACTCCCCATCCTCGCTGGTGGGGGCTTGGCTTCTCATCCCACATTCCCTGTGGCAGAAATTCGGGCTGGCCCTATGGACAATCTTTGAGTCCCTATTGCAGTCTCCGGTTCACTGCAGACTCTCTGTGAGACCCTCTGGGCAGTCTGTGGGTCCCTTGAGCAGGCTGTGTGTCCCCATGGGGGTTCTGTTTGTCCCTATGGATGATATGTCAGTCCCTATGGATGGTCTGTATGTCCCTGTGGATGATCTCTGGGTCCCTATGGGTAGTCTATATGTCCCTGTGGGTGATCTCTGTGTTCCTATGGATGGTCTGTATGTCCCTGTGGATGATCTCTGGGTCCCTATAGTGGACCCTGCTCATCCATGGAGAGTCTGTCAGTCCCTATGGACGATCTGTGTGTCCCTATGGCTGGTTTCTGTGTCCCTACAGCAGACCCCACTCACCTAGGGATGGTCTGTGGAGTCCCCACGGACAGTCTGTGTGCCCACGGACACTTTGTGAGTCCCTATGGATGCTTTGTCTGTCTCCATGGTTGGCCTGTGTGTCCCCATGGACGCTCTTGTGGGTAACCAGGCAGTGTCTGTGTGTCCCCGTATAGTGCCGGTCTGTCCCCCTGCAGTATTGGTCTGTCCCTGTATAGTGTTTGTGTGTTCCTGTACAGTGTCTCTGTGTCCTCGTGTCCGTCTGTCTGTCCCCACCGACGCTCTCTGGGTTCCTCTGCCTCCCCCCGCTCCGCCCTCCCCTCTCTCCGCCCCGCCCACAGCGCCACGGCCCCGCCCGCTCCCCAGCCGCCCCTTATGATTGGTCGCTGCAGCGGGGGCGTGTCTCACCGCCCATCTCTCTATCTGTGATTGGTCGACGCCGCGAGGGCTTGTCCCACTGCCTATCGCTTTCTCTGCGATTGGTCACTGCCGTGAGGGCGTGTCCACCGGACCATCTCTCCCTGTGATTGGCCGGCACTGCGGGGGCGTGTCTCTCCACCCGTCTCCCTCTGTGATTGGTGGCTGCTTTGGGGGCGTGTCCCTCCGCCGGTCCCTGCGCGGCGCGGAGCCGCCTCAGCGCGGGGCAGCGCGGCCATGGCCGAGGCCGTGCGACCCCCGCGCCGCGCCCGCACCCGCCCCAAGGTAACGCGGCAGCGAGGGCGGCTCGGGGCCTCCACCACGGCCGGTGGAGGCGAGGGAGGGTCCTGCGTGTGGGGGGTGTTTGCGCCAGGCCGTGTTTACATCTGTGTTTGTGCGGCCTCTAATGGTGAAGGGTGGAGACTGGGGGAGAGTGTGTGGGTGATGTTGCTGTGGGTTTCTTTTTCTTTGTTTTCGTAAAAAGATTCCTGATGGTTCCTGCTGTTCTGCGCTCTCTGTCTGTGAATTTGTCGTGGTTGCCGGCGGGTGGGAGCTGTGATAGGCCTTGTGCTGTAGCAGGAAGTAAACAAGGTTTTTATTATGTTGTCGTACGGCCTCCTCAGGGGTCCTGTGTCCTGCGGGAGGGCTGGGGCAGTGTGCAGCAGTGGAACTTACCTGTGTTTTAGTATAGTGTAGGGAGATTGTCCTACAGACAGAGCTGGGGCTGCTCACCTGCACAAGAGAAGGCTCCAGGGAGAGCTCAGAGCCCCTGCCAGGGCCTGAAGGGGCTCCAGGAGAGCTGCAGAGGGACTGGGGACAAGGCAGGCAGGGACAGCACACAGGCAATGGCTTCCAGTGCCAGAGGGCAGGGCTGGATGGGATCTTGGGAAGGAATTGCTGGCTGGGAGGGTGGGCAGGCCCTGGCACAGGGTGCCCAGAGCAGCTGTGGCTGCCCCTGGATCCCTGGCAGTGTCCACGGCCAGGTTGGACAGGGCTTGGAGCAGCCTGGGACAGTGGAAGGTGTCCCTGCCCATGGCAGGGGGTGGCACTGGACGGTCTTTAAGTTCCCTTCTGACCCAGACTATTCAGTGGTGCTGTGTTACTCCATTTTGTCTGTGTTGGGTTTTGAAATGCTGAGAACATGATTCTGTGTGTAACACATGATAGTGCTGCTTCTTCCTAAGTTGATGCTGCAGTTTTTTAAGTTTTACCCTTCCTAGGTTTTTATCCTCTGCTGAGTGGGTTCCTTGTTCCTGATATTAGTACTGACAGCTTTCTGAAGGCTTTATTTTCTTTACACAGGATATTTATAGGAATGATCTGAACTACCTTACAAAGTGGAAATGTTTTCCTTGGTTTCTTAACCTCTTTCTTGTTGTCCCTATGGACGACCGTATAGAGCAAGGACATTCAAGTCATGACTGTCAAAGCTCTTTGAAAACACTGAATTAATTGACCACTGTTCTGTAAAACCCGGGCTAAATCTAAATGTCAGATGTGGGTGTGCTTCTGAATGGAAGGCAAGTAAAGATTGCAGGGAAAAACAATCCCGGAAGAGTTACTGTGTCATTGTTTTGGTTTTGATTCAGCCCCTGGCGTGTGCAAGGCAGTTAAACCTTCAAACTGCTGCCTAAGAGAATTGGTTCCCTGCAGGAAGGTGGTGAGTCATGGATGACACTGCTGTTTCATTTAGGACATGTGTGTGGTGACTCTAGTCTTTAGCTATCCCTTCCAGGTGAAATTCACTGTGAAACAATTCACTGGGGTTGTCACATGTGAGAACCTTGGATTCTCCAGTGCTGCACATGACCCATTTCTGGAATTTGTGTTGCTATTACGGTGCTCACCTCTGTTAGTGCCCGGGCGTGCCTGAGGATGCAGTTTGTGGGTCAGTCACATTAAGGACTTTTCCATTCCCATGCCACAGAAAAAGCTGTAATCCTTTGAAAAGCTGGAATTCTTGTGATCTGAGAGAAAGGCTGGCTCAGCTACAGAGCTGCCAAGTGGTGGAATGGAGCCCAGGGCTTTCTGACAATAGTAGCCCCAAAGTTAAACTTGTGCAGCACCAGCAGCACCAGATTAATTCAAACAGAGGGAGGTGGCAAAACCAGTGCACTTGGAAATGGTGAAGAGGAAACCCTTTGTCTGCTTGTTTCTGTGTATGGCACTCAGGTTGATGCCTTAGGATTTTAGCTTTTACATCTTTCATATATTTGTAATTGTGCAGGTCTTTAGTGTCTAACTCTAAACTCCGTATGGAGTGTTAGTTACTGCTTTCCTATTTTCGTCAGAACAATTCCTCTCCAGGTCTGGC